GACAGTTTCAACACTTTACTCCCAAAAAGCGCCTCTTTAAACGTCTCTCCTTTAATGTTTAATTAAGAATCGATATTACTGTCACATAACAGCATCAACTCCTCTTCCACGATAGACTTGCCCACAATCTGGACATCCCCATACTAATCGGTGTATTTTTATCTTGGATAGTCCGTCCGTAGAATAGTTCTTTTGTTATTGGGAAGTCCAGATGTGAAAAATCTATGCAGATCCCTCCTAATTTAATCCTTCTTGACGAACAGTGTTAGTTTATATAATACAACACGTTTTCTATGCCTATCGCTACTTATTAGTTTGACCGCTTCACTACTAAACGTGAGCCATATAACTGCCCAACGGTGGTAGTTAGGGACTAGTATTCTGTACGTCACTCCTACTCAGTCCGTTCAAGTAAACAGAGGTGTTTTGGCACTGTGGCCACTTGACCGTTATTAACGAATCTGTTTTGGCAGATAATGTTCGTCTGCATGGGATGTCTGAAGACGTTGGAGTGGTAGTCTGATTCTCCAGCCAGCTGTCAACTCGGGGGAAACCAGCCAGTATTGACGTGCCACTGTCTCATATGGCAGGCCATTTGTGAAGTCGACGCTAGCGAGTCTCTGGAAGGTCTCGGTAGTCGGCTCTCCTTTAAACTACGGTCGGTAGACAACAGTAGACGTCTGGTTAGTCGGAGTTCTGTCTCCTTGCTGCAGTGCAATTACGGACTGGACAGGAGGAAACGGAACAAATTACATAATTACTGTGTGTTGGCGATAGACAGCGTGCACTACCCTGCTATAATCATACGGTTACGGTTTGGGTTAAGGTTAGGGTTAGGGGTAGGGTTTGGGTTAGGTTTAGGGTTTGGGTTAGGGTTAGGGTTTGGGTTAGGTTTTGGGTTAGGGTTGCGGTTAGTGTCGCCTCATCTCGTCTTCGCATAAACTCAAAGTAGCAACCCAAACCCTAACCCTAAACCTAACCCAAACCCTAAACCTAACCCAAACCCTAACCCACACCCTAACCCAAACCCTAACCTTATGATGACAGTAGGGCACTGCACGCTGTATAACGCCAACACACAGTAATTTTGTCACTTGTTTCGTTCCCTTTAATCCACTCCGTAATGCGTCGCAAGAAGCGGTAATTGAACGCGGTCGCTAATTTGAGTCGCAGCGCGGGGTCTGCCAGGCATGTCGACGTCACTTTGTTTTGTGATTCTTGCCTTTTCCACTCCGTAATTGCACTGTAGCCAAGGGACAGAACTCCGACTAACCGACTACTTTTGTCTACCGGTCGTAGTTTTAAAGGAAAGCCCGGTAGTCTTTCCACCGGTCAGTGGGGAAGATCATTCTGCTACAGATTTATTCTGGGAATCGGAAGGCTGCGGAGATAAACTCTTCAGATAGGCTGAATGTATGTTTGAACCCAGGACTTAGCTTCCAGACAAACGAAATCCAACATTCATAATACCCCGTCTCAGAGTACCTGAGGATTTTAAGGAAACAAATCCCGAAGTAAAGGTACGTGACAAAACTGCCATACGACAATCGCAGCACTCGTGACATTCACATAAGCGCTCCCTTCCCATCGTCAGCAGCAAGCCCAGAGTTCCACTTCCGAAGGTGCCAGTATATCCGTGTCGCCTTTTCCTTGGGTGTTGATCGTCGGCGAGATCCCCAGATCACTCCTCGCACGCAGCACTTCTCCTCAGACCGCTATGATAAATGTGTGCCTCTGCACTGGTCATTCGCCTCCAAAGGGCCCTTACAACATCTAGTTTGCCATGCATTAATTCACCACCAAGCTGTCCAGAACCACACAGTCTATCTTGTCTGTTTATTTCCTAATACACCGGAGACCGGCTCTCTAGCGAAGTTGGTTAAACCTGACTTTCGCGGCGACCGGGTGACGAACTCCTTGTGGTCCGGGTTCACACCCGGGGGTAGGCAGAAAAGCCAAATTTCTCCCAGATTAACGGTACCTATAATGGAATCAAGGCCGAAGGGTTGCGATATCCATAGTACCGAGCCAAAGGGTTTACAACTCTGGTTTCTGGATACGTTAAAAAAAATACACCGGAGAAAATTCCCTGGTGAAAATATCCAAAGGATACTAACCACCCGAGGCCTCTGCAGCGATGCTTGCCACTGTTCACGGAGTATCCGGTATCCACCTTTCTCAACATGACCAGTGACTGTATGGGATCCTCGTCGGTGCTACGGAGTTCGTGCACTGTGCTGAGATTCTTCAGACTCAGGCTTGAGTCAGAAGTAGAAGGGAGCACTTATGGGTTACTACCCTTGTGTCATGATGTTGATCCGTCGCCTAAACCTAAACTTGATGTCTGTAATTTTCTTATGTCTGAGATTTCCTTCTGACTGTGATTTCCTTCTGACTGTGATTTCCTGCTGACTGTGATTTCCTTCTGACTGTGATTTCCTGATATATGTGATTTCCTGCTGACTGTGATTTCCAACCCTAAAATTTCCTGAGACCTAACATTCCCTGACATGTCATTTCCTGATGCCCTCCTAATGTTATCACAATCGACGTCACTGCATATTGGACACGCTCAGTCCTCTGATTCAGCAGCCACTCCTAGGTAACTCTTCTGGTTGTTCCTATGAGAAGTTGGTTACAATATTTCGGATCTCGGCCTCGCAGGCGGCTTGTACGTGCTTTACCATACTTTACTCTTATATCACGCAATCGTGTTAGTGTCAGAACGTGTCACTATTCACTAGCCTGGTCCGTACAGCCTTGCTGATATCTGTTCTGTCCATGCATCTTCCTACCAGTTGATCCCGTCGTTCGTTACCTTTCACGCTAGAATAATCGGGTATATAGATCCAGGTGGGGAAGATTTAAGTGCGATTTCTTAAAGCGTTCAATACATTCAGAGCGTATACTACCGGCTGGGATGCTGTGAAGCATGTTCCTGGAGTCTGGTTCCTGCGAGGTAATAGTATCCCCGATAAAGATAACTTTATCTTACACTAGCCAATCATAATTCAGAAGCCTCTACTTCTTTTTACCCCCCCCCCCCCCCCCCCCCAGACAATGCATGGCTGTTGGATAAACAGTCGTTAACGAAGGCAGTCAGGTCGTTGCAGGGGCGACGTCTGCTAGTGGATGTAATGTCCAAAGTCCCTTCCCCAGCTAATAGTGAGGGTACTGCTGTGGTGATCATTTATTAACCCTCACATAATGCTTCAGGTCAAAATGGACGCTAGGCAAGGCCACCTTTTTTTAGCCGTGGCAAATGTTTTTAATTTTTTTTTTTTTTACTTCTGTAGGCGGTGGCCGTCGCATGTTTGCTCCATTTGTAGACTGGAAGGATATAGTTTCGTCGCCCAGCTTCTGAGTTGAGTGCATGGTGTGACACTGTGAGCTGTGTTTTTCGTCGGCACAGGAGCGGAGCAACTATGGGGTGACCCGTTTGCTATGAAGCTGAAATTAGGATTACCAGATTACCCCCGACAATCTCAGAGAGAGAGAGAGAGAGAGAGAGAGAGAGAGAGAGAGAGAGAGAGAGAGAGAGAGAGAGAGAGAGAGAGCAAGCATGCAGATGCACACACATTTCACCCACATATTAAACAACTGACTGCCAACTGGACTGACCTGTTTAATAATATCCACTATATTATTATACAAAGATGGTTACAACAACACAAAATGCAGCAATAACAGCCAGAGTAAAGGGATAAATATGCTCACGGAACACACCGGATCCGACTTGTAACTTGCAGCAGATTTGCAAACATTCCTACACGTCTGAGCAAGGGTTGTCAACTGTGTGTGTCCATATAAGGTCTTCCAGCTACTTGTGTCTGTGTAAGGTATTTCAGATACCCGTGTCTTTGTAAGGTCTTTCAACTAACTCTATGTAAGGTCTTTCAGCTACTTGTTTGTGTGTATGTAAGGATTGTGTTTATGTATTACTTGTGTTTATGTAAGGCCTTTTAACTACCTATGTCTATGTAAGGTTTGTGTCTATATAAGGTTTGTGCCTATATAAGGTTTGTGTCTATGTAAAGTCTTTCAACTACCTATGTCTATGTAAGGTCATTAAACTACATGTGTCTATATAACGTCTGTAAACTACCTCTGTCTATGTAAGGTCTTCCCTGCCTATACATGTCACAGTCATGAGGTCAGCAATATACAACTTCTGTCTCCACATGTCACAGTCATGAGGTCAGCAATATACAACTTCTGCCTCCACATGTCACAGTCATGAGGTCAGCAATATACAACTTCTGCCTCCACATGTCACAGTCATGAGGTCAGTCATTGTACAACTTCTGTCTCCACATGCCACAGTCATGAAGTCAGTCAATATACAACTTCTGCCTCTACATGTCACAGTCATGAGGTCAGTCATTGTACAACTTCTGTCTCCACATGTCACAGTCATGAAGTCAGTCAATATACAACTTCTGCCTCCACATGTCACAGTCATGAGGTCAGCAATAGACAACTTCTGCCTCCACATGTCACAGTCATGAGGTCAGTCAATTTACGTCTGCACATACATGTCACAGTTTCTGCTAGTCTAAGACCTTTGTGTAAACATGCGACAGACATAAACTCAGTCAGCATACAACCTGTGTCTTCAAGTGTTCTGTCCGTACAAGTTCTCTGTCTATGTGTGTCACAAGTTCTGTCAGTACAAGTTCTCTGTCTATGTGTGTCACAAGTTCTGTCAGTACAAGTTCTCTGTCTATGTGTGTCACAAGTTCTGTCCACATAAGTTCTCTGTCTATGTGTGTCACAAGTTCTGTCAGTACAAGTTCTCTGTCTATGTGTGTCACAAGTTCTGTCAGTACAAGTTCTCTGTCTATGTGTGTCACAAGTTCTGTCAGTACAAGTTCTCTGTCTATGTGTGTCACAAGTTCTGTCAGTACAAGTTCTCTGTCTATGTGTGTCACAAGTTCTGTCCACATAAGTTCTCTCTGTCTATGTGTGTCACAAGTTCTGTCAGTACAAGTTCTCTGTCTATGTGTGTCACAAGTTCTGTCAGTACAAGTTCTCTGTCTATGTGTGTCACAAGTTCTGTCAGTACAAGTTCTCTGTCTATGTGTGTCACAAGTTCTGTCAGTACAAGTTCTCTGTCTATGTGTGTCACAAGTTCTGTCAGTACAAGTTCTCTGTCTATGTGTGTCACAAGTTCTGTCAGTACAAGTCCTCTGTCTATGTGTGTGACAAGTTCTGTCAGTAAAAGTTCTCTGTCTATGTGTGTCACAAGTTCTGTCCGCATAAGTTCTCTGTCTATGTGTGTCACAAGTTCTGTCCGCATAAGTTCTCTGTCTATGTGTGTCACAAGTTCTGTCCGCATAAGTTCTCTGTCTATGTGTGTCACAAGTTCTGTCCGCATAAGTTCTCTGTCTATGTGTGTCACAAGTTCTGTCCGCATAAGTTCTCTGTCTATGTGTGTCACAAGTTCTGTCAGTACAAGTTCTCTGTCTATGTGTGTCACAAGTTCTATCCGCATAAGTAAACTAAAGGACCCCTTTCCACGCCTTCAGGCATACTGACCTATATTTTATAGACCAATCGGCACTTGGTGGGTGATGCAGTCAACATTATGCCGGCTGCCTTTGCTTCCCAGAACCGCACCTGGCACCCACTCAGGGCTGGGTCGACCTGGGAAAAGGGGTCATTTTTGTTTAAAAGAAAGCCGGGTTCCATCTTTACCCGAACCCACAACATTAATATCCATCAGTACAACACCTCTGCCTTACACACGTCACGTCACAAGGTCTATCAGAACAACACCTCTCCCTTACACATGTCACAAGGTCTATCAGAACAACACCTCTGCCTTACACATGTCACAAGGTCTATCAATTCAAGACCTCTGATTACACAAATAAAATGAAATGTTCAGCAAGGATCTACCTATAAGTGATGGCTCAAACATTCACACAATATGTATACTGATATATTTGACCAACCAAAGCTAGGGGCCTTGACAACTGATTACTTTCTTGCAACAACAGCAAACACAGGAAGCAGTACAACCAAACGTAATTTAAAAAACAAACAAAAAGACAGCATAAATAGGAACACAAACAAAAAATATGTGGACTCCCCTAAAAGCAGCCAAACATCACAGACCACATGATCTTGCTGGAATGTTTCATGACAGACAAATAATGACCGGAAAACTATGAGACTGAAATTAGTCTGTTTAGACCAGTGGTCTCCCGACTTTTTTCAGGTCACGCTCCCCATGAGTATATAGAGACCCCACCCCCCCCCCCCCCCAACCACAACAAAATGTGATTAAAAAGATGATAATAAATACTACAACAAGGGAAAAATAAAGTTTGGAGATACGTTTTGGTCAGTGCGAGTTCTAAAGTCTATAAAAAAACTGTGCATGTTATCAAATTAGTTAGATTGTTATGTGATCCAGGCAATGGGTATGGAGATGTAAATGAAATTTGATGGTGTATGTTTCCAAACAGACTGTCAGTATTAGTATGTGACTTCTGTAATGTCACTACTTTCATATGAAGCCCGTACCACAGCTGTAAACCCAAGACCCCCCAACAGCTAATACATAAAGAAGGTAGACCTGCAGCCGGGCGCACAATTTTTAGGTAGCAGTGCATTCTAGGTTACGAAATACCGTTGGCACTATGCAAGTCACTTAAGTGCGAAATCCTTGTTTCGAGAAAATGACGATTGGACACAGAGAGCTCTAAAAAAACAATAGTTGTGTGAAAAGTAATACTTCATTTTGACCTATGTATGTCACATTGCAGTTCGCTATTTTTCCTATCCATCTGATAGATGCACTCTGTTTTCACAGGAGGTATACAGTAAAGTGGCTGCGACTTAGGTGTTGCAAATTCCCCTTGTAGTGCCAGGGTGCCTATTTTAATCCCAGCTGCAGGCGATTTGGCAGCAGGCCCCCTTAGTTTGGTATTGACAATGGTACCGAGAGGCGACCATTCAGAATTCAATGACAAACTACTGAAAAGTAAATTTGCCTAGAAAACCGCAGTGAGGAGTTACCTGGGGATCTGGCTGACGCTCAACACTCAAGGGAATGGCAAGACAATACAATAAGTTCCTGGTGCTATCGGAATTGTAACTCTTCCTTGCTGTTGAAGATAGGGACGGACTGCTTATGGGAGTGTCCTGAGGGTTGTGATGTTGATGCCTAATTCAACATTTAAAATTCAATATTCAACCGACAAAATGACAGTGTGGCTAGTTCCTTTCCACAGTCTAGCAATGAATGCATCGGTATGATACTGTAACACTACTATGCTAAGCAGCTGGAGAATGAGTAGAGTATGCTTTCTACTGATCTCTTTAAAATATAGCGACCCTGAGACAGAATGGCAACTGTTAGCCATTTGTGTACTCAACATTATAACTGCAACAACAACAAATACTGTGAATATGGTCATGTTTCATTAGCCAATCTCTATAATTTGAAACCTGGTGTAGGGGCTAGGCACTCACATGAGGACCGGAAGGTCGTGGATTTAGGTCCTGATGGTGCGGGATTATTTTTTTTTAAATGATCTTGGCTTCCAGGTCTGCCCAGCCTTGAGGGGGTACAAGGTGCAGTCCTGGTGCCGACTGGTCTATAAAATGTAGGTCTAGCCCTATATGCCCAATATGTCTGAAGGTGTCGAAAAGGGCCCTTTGACTATAATTTTAAGAAAACAGAATAGACAAATCTCTAGGCTGTCAGGGATGTGTAAATGCAAATGGCAGCAAAATATAAATCAGACGAGGGAAAGGACAGCGATGCCAGTTTATTATGAGAATGTAAAATGTACGTTCGCTTGTAACAAACAAATGAGGATGTAAAAAATGCGGGTAAGAATGATGTCCTTGAGAGTCAATTCTACTTCAGTCCTAATAAGATCATAAATAGCAAACACCTGTTATGATAAACAAGACATCTGGTCGGGCAGTATAATAGATCTAAGTATTTGCAACATAAGGTCAGTTAGTCAAGGAATGACTTTTGCATGTATGACAAGACTGTAGATCACATACAATGAATTACAAACAAACAAAACCAAAAAAACCAAGTGAAGTTAAGAGAAGAAAGCATAAATTCTACACTGAGTCAACTGTGTGTGTGCACCCCTTGTTTTAGGGGGTCATGAGACTGAAGATTCAGGGCCATATGGCGAGTGCTATCACCAAGGACTGTCAGGCTAGGATGTTTAATTCTGCCCCAGACAGAAAAACTCTTCCACCTTACTGGAGATAAAACCCAGGTTCCCCACATGAGAGCCAAGTGTTGTAACCACCCTTCTTCCAGCCACTGCTCTGAGTCAACAAGAACTTACATTTCAGTCATATATAACAGAACAGTAGATTTTAAACCAGCGGTAGAGATGAAAACAGTGAGCTAAACAACAACACTGGACTGCTAAAATATACATCCTTACATATAATTCATACCATAACATGGCAGATGTGAAAGTGCATGCACAAATGAGAACAGCACATTCAGTCAGAAGTAATATACAACAGCAATAAATTAAAACAAGGAAAATGTACTGTGTGTTCCGAGAATATACATGTCCTGAGAAAAGAGACTGTCCTGAGAATAGAAACCAGACTGTGTCCTAAGAATAGACAGTGTGTGTCCTGAGAATAGAGGCCAGACTGTGTCCTAAGAACAGACAGTGTGTGTCCTGAGAATAGAGACAGACTGTGCCCGGGGAGTAGACAGTGTGTGTGTGCCTGAGAATAGAGACAGACTGTGTCCGGGGAGTAGACAGTGTGTGTGTGCCTGAGAATAGAGACAGACTGTGTCCGGGGAGTAGACAGTGTGTGCCTGAGAATAGAGACAGACTGTGTCCGGGGAGTAGACAGTGTGTGCCTGAGAATAGAGACAGACTGTGTCCGGGGAGTAGACAGTGTGTGCCTGAGAATAGAGACAGACTGTGACCGGGGAGTAGACAGTGTGTGTGTGCCTGAGAATAGAGACAGACTGTGTCCGGGGAGTAGACAGTGTGTGTGTGTGCCTGAGAATAGAGACAGACTGTGTCCGGGGAGTAGACAGTGTGTGTGTGCCTGAGAATAGAGACAGACTGTGTCCGGGGAGTAGACAGTGTGTGCCTGAGAATAGAGACAGACTGTGTCCGGGGAGTAGACAGTGTGTGCCTGAGAAAAGAGACAGACTGTGTCCGGGGAGTAGACAGTGTGTGCCTGAGAATAGAGACAGACTGTGCCCGGGGAGTAGACAGTGTGTGTGTGCCTGAGAATAGAGACAGTGTCCGGGGAGTAGACAGTGTGTGTGTGTGCCTGAGAATAGAGACAGACTGTGTCCGGGGAGTAGACAGTGTGTGTGTGCCTGAGAATAGAGACAGACTGTGTCCGGGGAGTAGACAGTGTGTGCCTGAGAATAGAGACAGACTGTGTCCGGGAAGTAGACAGTGTGTGCCTGAGAATAGAGACAGACTGTGTCCGGGGAGTAGACAGTGTGTGCCTGAGAATAGAGACAGACTGTGTCCGGGGAGTAGACAGTGTGTGCCTGAGAATAGAGACAGACTGTGTCCGGGGAGTAGACAGTGTGTGTGTGCCTGAGAATAGAGACAGACTATACCCGGGGAGTAGACAGTGTGTGCCTGAGAATAGAGACAGACTGTGTCCTTGGAGTAGACAGTGTGTGTGCCTGAGAATAGAGACAGACTATGTCCGGGGAGTAGACAGCGTGTGTGCCTGAGAATAGAGACAGACTGTGCCCGGGGAGTAGACAGTGTGTGTGCCTGAGAATAGAGACAGACTGTGCCGGGGAGTAGACAGTGTGTGTGCCTGAGAATAGAGACAGACTGTGTCCGGGGAGTAGACAGTGTGTGTGCCTGAGAATAGAGACAGACTGTGCCCGGGGAGTAGACAGTGTGTGTGCCTGAGAATAGAGACAGACTGTGTCCGGGGAGTAGACAGTGTGTGTGCCTGAGAATAGAGACAGACTGTGTCCGGGGAGTAGACAGTGTGTGTGCCTGAGAATAGAGACAGACTGTGTCCTGAGACCAGACGGTCCTGAGACACCATCATGTGGGTAACCATCATGTGGATACCTACACTTTAGTCAGCTAGCACCTGTGGTGGACAGTCAAACAGTTTGTGCTGAAGTATACCTTTTAACGCTAGCACCACTGACCTGTAGTTAGAATGATGATAGTGGGCTTGTGTTAGATGTGTTCATAAAGAGCTTAGCTGTGGGTATGAAGTATTTCCACTGTTGCCTTTCTTGTGTGTGGTGTTTCTATAGCTGCCCCTGTCGTGCCTCGTGTTTCCACGGTTGTGTGTGGTATTTTCAGTTGCCTTCATTGTAAGTGGTGTTTCCTGAACGTAAAAATCATGTTTCGCATCAGAGTGTGAACGTAAAAATCATGTTTTGCATCAGAGTGTGAACGTAAAAATCATGTTTTGCAATTCTTGAGTACCACAGTTACCATGATGGACACTTTAGAAAAAGACTGTTCTTATGACTTTTAGACAGTATTAGGAGAACTGCACTCAAAGAGTCACTTATATGCTGTGCCCA